GAGCCTATGACTATTGGTACTACCCTTGCTTGCTTTTGCCACAGTCTTTCTATTTCTATTTGTAGGTCTTTGTATTTTGTTATTTTCTCCAGTTCTTTCTATTCTATTCTGCTATCTCCAGGCACTGCCACGTCCACTATCCAGACTTTTTTGTCTTTCTTATCGACAATTGTTAAGTCTGGGGTGTTATGTTGCAGGTGCTTGTCGGTTTGAATTCTGAAGTCCCATAGCAGTTTAATTTTATCATTTTCTATGACTTTCTCTATTTTATGATCCCACCAGTTTTTGCTTACAGGCAAATGATATTTTTTGCAGATCTTCCAATGCACCATTGTTGCTACTTTGTCATGCCGCTGCTTGTAATCAGTCTGTGCAATCTTCTTGCAACAGCTTACCAAGTGGTCCACTGTTTCTTCAGCTTCTTTGCATAGGCGGCACTTACTGTCTGTTGCTGTCTTCTCAATTTTGACTTTGTATGCATTTGTCCTTAAGGCTTGGTCTTGTGCAGCCAGAATTAGTCCCTCGGTCTCTTTCTTCAATTTTCCTGCTCTTAGCCATTGCCAGGTTTTTTTATTATCTGCTTTCCCAGCTATTTTTTTCATGTATTGGCCATGTAGTGCTTTGTCTTCCCATGCCTCTATTCTGTTCTTCATTGGGTCTTTCTTGTAGGCCACTTTGGTCTCTCCAGTAGTTAGTAAACCTTCCTGATATACTAATTTCAGTGCATCTTCATCATTGTTCTTCAGATATTCTTCCAAAGCCATTTTTTCTTCTTCAACCATCTGATGGACTTGTAGCATTCCACGCCCACCTATTTGCCTTGGTAGATAAAGTCTATCAATGTCACTGCGTGGATGAAGGGCATGATTCCTTGTCATTATTTTTCTGGTCTGCCTATCCATTGCTTTTAGTTCTGCTTGAGTCCAGTCCACTATTCCAGCTGTGTACCTAATGACTGGGATTGCCCAAGTGTTGATTGCCTTTATGGTATTTCCTCCATTGTTGTTGTTATTATTATTATTATTATTATTATTATTATTATTATTATTATTATTAACTGCCACCCCAGCTCCCCGCCCCGGGTTTGGTGCTCCCGAGGGGGATTTCCTTCTGAGAAGGGAACGCCACCATTTGGGCCCACCCAACAACAGGTGGAAGCCCTGGCCCCTGAGCATCTGCTTACCTGGGATTAAGGCTGAAGGCTGGGCCAGCAGGAAGGTGGAACTGTCCTAAAGGTCCTTTTTTTTTTTTTTTTTCAGGAGGCAGCTGGACTTTCTGGTTTTTCCTTGAAGACGTTTCGCTTCTCATCCCAGAAGCTTCTTCAGCTCTGACCGGATGGTGGGGAATAATGGAAGGATTTATACTCCTTGCAGACTGCTGGTCATTTGTCCTAGAGGAGATCAACCCCGACTGCTCTTTAGAAGGCCAGATCCTGAAGTTGAAACCCAAATACTTTGGCCACCTAATGAGAAGGAAGGACTCACTGGAGAGGGCTAATGCTGGGAAAGATGGAGGGCAAGAGAAGAAGGGGACGACAGAGAATGAGGTGGCTGGATGGAGTCCCTGAAGCAGGAGGCGTGAACTTAAATGGACTCCAGAAGATGGTAGAGGACGGGAGGAACATCATCCATGGGGCCGCGATGGGTCAGACACGACTTCGCAACTAACAACAACAAGACTAGAGAGTCTTTGAGCCATTTAGGGTCCAAGTGTGCTCAACTACACTTTGAAAGGATGCAAATGACCGGCTCTCTGCAAGGAATACAAATCCTTCCGTTCCCCACCATCCAGTCAGAGCTGAAGAAGCTTCTGGGGTGAGAAGCGAAACGTCTTCAAGGAAGAACAACAAAGTCCAGTTGTTGGACTTTGAACTGAACAAGTCCAGTTGTCTCAAAGGTGAAAAAATCACCTTTGGGACAACCATAGGGGACTGGAGACTAAAACATATAAGGAAAAGCTGCTGGAATTGGGGATGTCTAGTCTAACGAAGAGAAGGACGAGGGGGAACATGATAGCAGTGTTCCAATATCTCAGGGGCTGCCCCAAAGAAGAGAGAGTCAAGCTATTCTCCAAAGCGCCTGAAGGCAGGACAAGGAGCAACGGATGGAAAATAATCAAGGAGAGAAGCAACCTAGAACTAAGGAGAAACTTCCTGACAGTGAGAACAATTAACCAGTGGAACTACCTGCCTCCAGAAGCTGTGAATGCTCCAACACTGGAGCTTTTTAAGAAGAGATTGGACAGCCATTTGTCTGAAATCGTATAGGGTTTCCTGCCTGAGCGGGGGGTTGGACTGGATGACCTCCAAGTTCCCTTCCAACTTTATTATTATTATTGTTGTTGTTGTTAGCTTGGATGATGGAGACTCTCCATAGGCTTCTAGCGAAGGTGGAATTGGTTTCTGATACTGACTCTACTTTCCTATGATGGGCCCAACACCCCAGGTTCCCACCACATCTGCCTCAACATCTGTGTACAGGAAGCAGTACTAACCCAAGGCCCCTCGTTCCCCCTACTCCAGGGATGGGCAGTTCATTTTCCCAAGAAACTGGGACAGTTACGGGAGATCCCCAACAACAAGAACAGTTGCCACACAGTTGAATCACAGTTACGTGGCCACAGGGATGCTGCCACAGTCGTAAGCCCGAGGACCGGTCGCAAGTCCCTTTTTGAACACCGTTGTCATGTTGAATGGTCACTAAAGGAATGGTCGTATCTGTATGAATGGTCAAGGCCCGTTCTCCACTTTACACGTGCTTGATGTTCCACTTGGATTTAACACACCTTCTCCTCTTTCTCCCATCATATTAAACCAGGGGTAGGCAACCTTGGCTCTTTTATGACCCGTGGACTTCAACTCCCAGAATTCCTGAGCCAAGGAGTCAAGGTTGCCTACCCCTGTACTAAACGGAGGGTTAATTTTGTTTCTGCAAATTTAGCATGGCAAATGAATTCTGTCCTTCGGTGTGCAGCTTTCTACCTGCCCTTCAGTTAGACCAGGAGCTAATGCTAAACTTTGGTGTGAATCGTATTTTATCCAACGGAAGAGAGAAACCGTATACAAGATGTGACGAGGCTAGCTTTGGCAAGAACACACAGGAGGGGTGGAGGCCATTCCAGTTTCCATCGGGCAGCACCATCGTGATAAGACCCATCCTAGAAACCACCATTTTCCCCTCCCTTTTCCTTGGCTGTGCTGCTCCCTTTTATTCTATTGGCTTTTGAACACCAACAGAAGAGGCTCTCTTGAATAGAGTCTAATTCGATTGGCTTTCCAAAGCCAATAGGAATGGTCCAGGCTGTCTCTGCCCTGCTGAGCCCGCCAAAAGTCCCATTCTGCAAACTTACGACCGGTTGGGGGGTCATGGCATTAAAAAGGTTGAGAACCACTGGGCTAAAGAAATAGCTACCGCGGGTGGGTGAGGAGAAGAGGACTCTGGTGGGCTGCGCGAGACAGAGAGAGAGAGAGGGAGGGGGGGGAGAGGGAGAGAGATTCGAAGCAGTGTTTCTCAACCTTGACCATTTTAAGGCATGTGGACTTCAACTCCCAGAATTGTTGCTTCAAATGCAACAAAATATGTGAACCTGCGTGGAAAGAGTACGTTAATCTGTGTACCATCGAATCGATCTGTTTTTAATCCCAAAACGGGCGGGGGGGGGAGAGGGAAGAAGCGTGCAATTAAAGAAAGAGGCAATTTTACGTCTTTCCATTCCCGTGGAAGTCGAACCTCTCCCCCCCCCTCCTCTGCTCTCCGTCTCGCGTCCTTCTAGATTTGCCACAGCGAGGCGCAGGGCGACCACGACCACCGGCTGGCCCAGCCCAAGGGAGGTAAGGCACCCGCTGGGCCCCACGCGCGCCAGCAACCCTCCCTGCGCCCGCCGGCCTCCCACCTCCCACCCCTGGCCCTCTTTGACTTACATTTAGTTGCTCAGCAGCGAGGGATGGAAACGTCCAGAAAGCTCGCCTGAGCTGGAGAAAACGTGCAGCACCATTTGGAGACTGGGGCTTTTGACGGGCTCAGCAGGGCAGAGACAGCCTGGGTCATTCCTATTGGCTTTCGAAAGCCAATAGAATTAGACTCTATTCAACAGAGTCCATTCTATTGGCTTTCGAAAGCCAATAGATTCTATTGGCTTTCGAACGCCAATAGAATAGAGTCTCTTGAATAGAGTCTATTCTATTGGCTTTCAAAAGCCAATAGAACAGTGGTTCTCAACCTTTTTAATGCCGCGACCCCCCAACCGGTCGTAAGTCGAGGACTACTCAACCGGTCGTAAGTCGAGGACTACTCAACTGGTGCAGCCCCGTTTGCAGAATGGGACTTTTGGCGGGCTCAGCAGGGCAGAGACAGCCTGGACAATTCCTATTGGCTTTCGAAAGCCAATAGAATTAGACTCTATTCAAGAGAGTCTATTCTATTGGCTTTCAAAAGCCAATAGAGTAAAAGGGAGTAGCACAGCTAAGGACCCAGATTGTTGGGGGCAATATAAAATATATATATATATATATACATTGCTTACTGGTGTACACCGCTTAGAGAGTGCTTGCACTTAAAGTGGTATATAACTCTAATAAATAAATAAATAAATAAATAAATAAGGAAAAGGGGGGGAAAATGGCGGACTGCGTTGTTTGGCGACCCCCGTGAAATGGTCGTTCGACCCCAAATGGGGTCCCGACCCACAGGTTGAGAACCGCTGGCTTAGACTTATATACCGCTTCACAGCCCTCTCTAAGTGGTTTACAGAGTCAGCCTATGAGCCCCCCCCCCCGGCAATCTGGGTCCTCGTTTTACCGACCTCGGAAGGACGGAAGGACGAGTCGACCTGCAGCCTGGTCAGGATCGAACTGCCGAAGTGCTGGCGGTCAACACAAGTAGCCTGCAGTACTGCGTTCTAACCACGGCACCACCGCGGTGCACAATTGCAAAATCCAAACCCTTGCAGCCACGTGGGACAGCGCCCGCCCTTCAAGGGGAGGTGAGTTTAGGTTCCTTTACCTGTCAGGATGTTCTTGAAGGCTTCTTCGACGTTTGTTGAGTCAAGTGCCGAAGTTTCAATGAAGGAGAGGTTGTTCTTTTCTGCAAGGCGAAGAGAGGGGAAAAAAATACCGTTTCAATCTTAAGGACTACTTCCCCCTAAAAGAGTGTTTCCCAAACTTGACAATTTTAAGGCATGAGGACTTCAACTCCCAGAATTCCACAGCCAGCAACGCTGGCTGTGGAATTCTGGGAGTTGAAGTCCACATGCCTTAAAATTGTCAAGTTTGGGAAACACTGCCCTAAAAGATTAGTTCACTGACCGGAAGGTGAATAACCGATCTGGGTTACACATAGCCAGCATAACCAGCCGGGGTCAGCCTCTAGCCCAGTGGTTCTCAACCTGTGGGTCGGGACCCCATTTGGGGTCGAACGACCATTTCACGGGGGTCGCCAAACAATGTAGTCCGCCAGTTTTTCCCCTTTTCCTTAGCTGTGCTACTCCCTTTTATTCTATTGGCTTTTGAAAGCCCATAGAAGAGACTCTCTTGAATAGAGTCTAATTCTATTCGCTTTCCAGAGCCAATAGGAATGGTCCAGGCTGTCTCTGCCCTGCTGAGCCCGCCAAAAGTCCCATTCTGCAAACGGGGCCGCACCAGTTGAGTAGTCCTCGACTTACGACCGGTTCAGTAGTCCTCGACTTATGACCGGTTGAGGGGGGGGGGTCACGGCATTAAAAAGGTTGAGAACCACTGCTCTAGCTAGCCCCGTGCCTCTCTTCCAACCCTGGAGAGGATCAGACAGCTCTATTTCTTCGGCTTTACATGAAGGAGAGTCGCTGTTGCCTCCAAAATGGATGTTTGTAGCTAGCTTTCACTATGAACAAGGAAACGAAGTTTCGTTATGTTTTCAAACTGGCTTAGTTTTGCCAACTAACGTGAAGCAGAATCAAAGTTTCCTCAAGTCAAACTGGAACCAGAGATTTTATTTATTTATTAAACATGGCTGCCCAGCTCACATAGAGGTGGCTTGCAATAATCCCCTGTCTGGTATAGGTTCTCCTGCTTGAGCAGGGGGCTGGACTAGAAGACCTCCAAGGTCCCTTTCTGCTCTGCTCTATTTTATTCTATTCATTATTCTATTTTATTCTATTCTGTTCTACTGTATTCTATTCTATTCTGCTCTATTCTAATTCTATTCTACATTATTCTATTCTATTCTGCTCTAATTCTATTCTATATTCTACTCTACTTTATTCTATTCATTATTCTATTCTATTCTAATACTATTATCTTCTATTCTATATTCTATTCTCTTCTGCTCTAATTCTATTGTATATTCTATTCTATTCATTATTCTGTTCTATTCTACTCTCTCTTCTATTTTACTCTATTCTGCTCTATTCTGCTCTGCTCTATTCTATTCTATTCCACTGTATTCTATTCTAATTCTGCTCTATTCTCTATTCTCTTCTGCTCTAATTCTATTCTATATTCTACTCTATTCTATTCATTATTCTATTCTATTTTAATACTGTTCTCTTCTATTCTATATTCTATTCTATTCTGCTTTAATTCTATTCTATAATCTATTCTCTTCTGCTCTAATTCTATTGTATATTCTATTCATTATTCTATTCTACTCTGCTCTCTTCTATTTTACTCTATTCTGCTCTATTCTATTCTATTCTATATTCTATTCTATTCCACTGTATTCTATTCTAATTCTGCTCTATTCTCTATTCTAATTCTATTCTATTCTACTGTACTCTATTCTGTTCTAATTCTGCTCTATTCTCTATTCTATTCTATTCTGCTCTAATTCTATTCTACTCTATTCTATAACATAAAAATCCATAAACCCCACCCCATTTCAGCCCATGGGGTTCATGCAATTTGATACTGCAATCAGCTTTCCACACTCTGCCCCAAACTAGTAACTTAAACTACAATTATAGTAAGTCTCAACCACTGTGGTGTAAAGATCAAGGCTGGACCTGAGGCAAGAGTGTCTCACCCACTTAACTGTGAGGGATTGCAGAATGGGATTACTGTCTCCCGACAAGGGTCAACGCAAAAATGTAATAATTCTAAGATATATTAAGGCTTGGCAAGTTCAAAACAGTATTTTGTTTATGCTCAAGAGCACTGGTGCCTTTAGCTTCTCCAACCTCCTGCTTAAGAGTCTCTTCTCATGATCATTCGTAGCTTAGTTGCCTTGTGCATGTGGACTGCTACGATGCTATACTATACACGGGGCTGCCCTGGGAGACCACTTTGAAGCTACATGTCAAGGTAATGATTTAATAGCTAACCAGCTTATGTAAGGTAAGATGTATGATGGAATGATAGGAATGACTCAGCAAGGGTCTATGTCCCTTTAAGAGCCAGCAGGGTCTGTGTCTCTTTAAGAGCCTCTGTATAAAAGGAAGGCTCCGCTGCTGCGTTCTCTTCCGTTTGCGAAGAAGAAGAAGAAGAAGAAGAAGAAGAAGAAGAAGAAGAAGAAGAAGAAGAAGAAGAAGAAGAAGAAGAAGAAGAAGAAGAAGAAGAAGAAGTAGAAGTAGTAGTAGTAGTAGTAGTAGTAGTAGTAATAGTAGTTGAGAGGGACCTTGGAGGTCATCCAGTCCAACCCCCCGCTCAGGCAGGAAACCCTATACGATTTCAGACAAATGGCTGTCCAATCTCTTCTTTAAAAGCTCCAGTGTTGGAGCATTCACCGCTTCTGGAGGCAGGTGGTCCACTGGTTAATTGTTCTCCCTGTCAGGAAGTTTCTCCTTAGTTCTAGGTTGCTTCTCTCCTTGATTAGTTTACATCCGTTGCTTCTTGTCCTGCCTTCAGGCGCTTTGGACAATAGCTTGACTCCCTCTTCTTTGGGGCAGCCCCTGAGATATGGGAACACTGCCATCCTGTCCCCCCTTGTCCTTCTCTTCATTAAACTAGACACACCCAATTCCAGCAGCCGTTCCTTATATGCTTTAGCCTCCAGTTCCCTAATCATCTTTGTTGTTCTTCTCTGTATTCTTTCTATATACATACACACTGTGGTGTGTATGTATATTGTTATGTATGTTTTCTGAGGTTTTCGCGGGTGTTTGTATGTAGGTCTTTGGTTGTTCAGGTTTTCTCCCGCGTAAAATTGGAAGTGTCTTGGCGACGTTTCGACGAAGTCCCATTCATCATCTTCAGGCTGGTGCTTTCAGCTTCGTGCTTAGAGGAGCAATGTGTGGTCTTAGCTGTTTCTTCCTTTTAACTGCCAGTGGAGGTATGAACTGATTGTGTGGGAGCTTGGCTGTGTTCTGATTGGGTGGAGGTGTGTTCTGATTGGTTAGGGGCGTGGCTGTGCTCTGATTGGCTGGGGGGTTGGCTGTGCTCTGATTGGCTGGGGGAGTGTTCTGTTTGGTTGTGCTCAGGTTAGTCTTGAGTTGCAGGGGGGTTTAAGATTTTGGGCTGCCTTGCTATTTTTTGGCTTCGCGTTCGTGGTCGTGCCTCACCTTCATGGAGGGTGTCAGTTTGCTTCATGTATGGATTGGAGGGGTTTAAAGTGGCTAATGATGTAGCTGTGGTCTGGCTTCTGGTTTGTGGTCGTGCCTCATCATCGGTGTGGCTTTGGGTTTGCTTTTTGCGTGGATGTGTGGTGGTGACATCCTGTGTGGTTTTTGTGAGTGTGGGTCTGGTATCATTTTTTGTGTTAGGGAGTCGTTTGTCAATAAGGGCGGGTTTCCAAATGGCTGGTAGGCGGGAGGTATCATCTCGCTTGTTCATGCTGTGTGGGCGTTTTTCTATCTCGATGGCTTCTCTGATTATTCTGTTATTAAAATGTTCACTTTTGGCAATGGTTCTGGTATTTTTAAAGTCAATTTCATGTCCTGTGGCTTTAAGGTGTTGGACCAGGGAAGATGTTGGTTCCTCTTTTTTGACTGAGTTCTTATGTTCTTCAATGCGTGCACTTATTCTTCTGTTGGTTTGTCCGATGTATGTGTTGGGACAAACAGTGCATGGGATTTCATATACTCCTTGATTTTCTAAGTCAATTTTATCTTTGGGGTTTCTAAGGATGGTGGATATTTTTCTGTTTGTGCAGAATGCTGTTTTGACGTTGTGTTTATGGAGGTATATTGTTATGTATGTATATTGTTCCTGGTGTGTGATATTGTAGGTAGTGTAAGATAAACCACCATTTACTATAGACCATTGTTTGCTGTGTTTACTTCTGGGTTATCTCGGGCACGCTCCAACACTGCAGCTGGTTCAGAATGCAGTAACGGGCCAGTGATTTCCAAAAGATGCTTGGGGAATTCCCTAGTTTTCCAGGGGCAGCGTGGTGCAGTCGCTCCTGAGCAGTGGATGCCATTGTTTCTGAGGTATCTCTGGCTAGGGGGCATATTCTTATTCTAGACCAAGGGTAGGCAACCTTGGCTCTTTTATGACTCGTGGACTTCAATTCCCAGAATTCCTGAGTCAGCATAGGATAGCTGGCTCAGGAATTCTGGGAGTTGAAGTCCACGAGTCATAAAAGAGCCAAGGTTGCCTACCCCTGGTCTAGACTTTATGGGGTGCTTCAAAATCCCTGCAATCCTTCAGAAATCTGCACAAAGCTTTTGTCAGGCAGGCACTTTCCCTTCCACTTCCCCCCAAAGTCTCCGGGCGCGTTGCGGAAGGCAGCCTGCCCTGCTCTGTGTAATCAAGGCTAGAAAAAAAGACGTCAACAGCCCAAACCTGCGAAAGCGCGGGCTTCATCCGTCGGCACGGCTCTCAGGTGACGCAAATCGCTCTTGTTCCCCACCAGCATGATGACAATATTGTTGTCTGCGTGGTCCCGCAGCTCCTTCAGCCAGCGCTCAACGTTCTCGTAGGTCAGGTGCTTGGCAATGTCATACACCAGAAGGGCCCCCACAGCACCGCGGTAGTAGCTGAAAGGATTCCAAGAGGATTACGCAAACCGAAAGCCCGACGCCACACAGTCTCTTGATCCCAGCACGAACTACGAGGGGCCCATCTATGATCTTGTAGCCAGGAGCGTTCATCAAACGGGCATCCTAAGCTCTCATAAGACAGACGTGTCAAACACAAGGCCCGGGGGGCTGGATGCGGCCTGCGAAGTGGTTTCATGTGGCCCGCGAAGCCATCCTGGCAACAGTGAGGGAACGGCCCCCGCTGCCTTGGCCCTGGCCCAAGCCAGCCGGGAGCCAATGTACAATTTTGTGATGGCCATCTCTGCTGAAACGCATTCAGTCTTAGCTCCATAAGCCCCCCCCCCCATGGCCTGAGAGGAACAGTGAGGCTCCTCCAGTGGACCATGCCTTGGCACTTGCCCCGGTCCCCCCCCCTTCTGCCAGAGACCCCCAGATCTATCCCACTCCTGCCCAGGCCCCCACTGGCACCCTTGACACGAACGAGGTAGAGCTGACCACACCCACCCAGTAGGCCACACCCACTCCATCCACGCCCACCCAGTAGGCCGCACCCACCCTGGCCACACCCGCCCGGCCCCCTGAGGGCAACCGCAGTGCTGATGCGGCCCTCAATGAAATTGAGTTTGACACCCCCGTCGTAAGAGCACCTCCTGGTAATCCTCCACTTACAACCCTTCGTTTAGTGACGGTTCAGAGCTACAACGGCACTGGGAAAAAGTGACTTAGGACCAGTTTTCACTCTTGTGACTGTTGCGGTGTCCCTGAGGTCCCGTGATCAAACTTCAACTGCTCAGAAAGCGGCACGGATTTAGGACAGGTCGCTTTTTGTGACCTTCTGACCCGCAAAGTCAATGGGGAAGTGAGCCGAGGTGGCGCAGCAGTTAGGGTGCAAGTACTGCAGGCCACTTTAGCTGACTGTGTTCAGCAGGTCAGCGGTTCAAATCTCACCGGCTCAAGGTTGACTCAGCCTTCCATCCTTCCGGGATATATATATATATATATATATATATATATATATATATATATATATATGCAGGAAGTTTTTCAGACAGATGTCTAATTGATTACACCTTGACATTTTTTAACTGCTATACTGCAGTTTTACTTTTTTACAATCTCTTTTGCCTTGCAGCCCCCAACTAGGGGCGTTAAGCAGGCTCAAGTCGCAACTGCGAAACATTACAAATCCAAATTTCTTTTTCTGACAAAGAGTTAAAGAATTAAATTGGGAGACTAAGATGGCCATTTCGAGCTCATTCTGCTCTCGTCAGTTAGCCACACCCTTTATGGGATTCGAACCTGGGCAGTTTACATGCTAGGCAGTGATTTAACCACCAAGCCACAGGCTCTCCTCCCTCTTTGCCAGCTGAGTCAAGGGAGTATATGCAGGAGTATATGCAAGGCAAAAGAGATTGTAAAAAAGTAAAACTGCAGTATAGCAGTTAAAAAATGTCAAGGTGTAATCAATTAGACATCTGTCTGAAAAACTTCCTGCATATACTCCCTTGACTCAGCTGGCAAAGAGGGAGGAGAGCCTGTGGCTTGGTGGTTAAATCACTGCCTAGCATGTAAACTGCCCAGGTTCGAATCCCATAAAGGGTGTGGCTAACTGACGAGAGCAGAATGAGCTCGAAATGGCCATCTTAGTCTCCCAATTTAATTCTTTAACTCTTTGTCAGAAAAAGAAATTTGGATTTATATATATATATATATATATATATATATATATATATATATATATATATATATATATATATATACACATACACATACATTTCTTACTGGTGTACACCGCTTAGAGAGCGCCTGCACTTAAAGTGGTATATAAGTCTCATAAATAAAAGTGAGATGCACTTAAAAACCCTGTTACTTAAATGATTCGCTTAAGGACCGTGGCAAGAAAGGTCGTAAAATGGGGGCAAAATTCACTTAAGTGTCTTGCTTTTAGCCTTGGAAATTTGGGGGCTGAATTGTGGCCATGCGCTCAGGACGAGCTGTAAGGACCTTAACTCCCCCACCCCCGTTAGCCCCCCCCCCCGAGCCCTGCCGAGCCTTACGCAGAGGTGATGGCGCGATAGCGCTCCTGGCCTGCCGTGTCCCAGATCTGGGCCTTTATCGTCTTCCCGTCTACCTGGATGCTTCTGGTGGCAAACTCCACCCCGATGGTGCTTTTGCTCTCCAGGTTGAATTCGTTCCGTGTGAAACGGGATAAGAGGTTACTCTTCCCCACGCCGGAGTCTCCAATCAGCACCACTGCCGGGGCAGGAAAAGACAACGCTCCATCAGTATTACTTCATTCACCCTCTGGAAAGGGAGGGAGGGAGGGAGGAAAGAAGGAAGGACCATTCTGGGATGGATGGATGGATGGATGGATGGATGGATGAAAGGAAGGAAGGAAGGAAGGAAGGAAGGAAGGAAGGAAGGAAGGAAGGAAGGAAGGAAGGAGCCATTCTGTTATGGGATGGATGGATGGATGGATGGAAGGAAGGAAGGAAGGAAGGAGCCATTCTGTTATGGGATGGATGGAAGGAAAAGGAAGGAAAAGGAAGGAAGGAAGGAGCCATGGAGGGATGGAGGGATGGGTGGAAGGAAGGAAGGAAGGAAGGAAGGAAGGAAGGAAGGAAGGAGCCATTCTGGGATGGATGGATGGATGAAAGGAAGGAAGGAAGGAAGGAAGGAAGGAAGGAAGGAAGGAAGGAAGGAAGGAAAAGGAAGGAAGGAAGGAGCGAGCCATTCTGTTATGGGATGGATGGAAGGAAGGAAGGAAAAGGAAGGAAGGAAGGAAGGAAGGAAGGAAGGAAGGAAGGAAGGAAGGAAGGAAGGAAGGAAGGAAGGAAGGAAGGAGCCATGGAGGGATGGGTGGATGGGTGGATGGAAGGAAAGAAGGCAGGAGCACCATTGGCAAATTGCACACAAGAGGACGGTGTGGCTAAGAGGAAGCCTTCAAATTATAGCTGAATGTCCTGCAGGATGGCTGGATGCCACTTTTTCCATTCCACGTCTCCGCACCATCCCAAATTTCCTTCAATCAAGCTCAATTACTAGGGACGGCCAGGAGATTCCATTTTATGTTCTTGGCAGCAATACAGAAGTGATTTGTGACTGCCTTTTTCCAGGATGCTTCAAATGTTAAGAGAGCTTTGCATTTCTTGGTGGTCTCCCACCCAAATACTAATCAGATCCAACCTTGTTTAGCCTTTTTTTTATTATTTTTTTAAAGATTTCCTGAAGCTACTAGGTCAGGGGTAGGCAACCTCGGCTCTTTTATGACTCGTGGACTTCAGCTCCCAGAATTCCTGAGCCAGCTATACTGAGGGGAAAGGGAGAGCTATGCTGACTCAGGAATTCTGGGAGTTGAAGTCTATGAGTCATAAAAGAGCCGAGGTTGCCTACCCCTGTACTAGGTGCTCCCACTTACTTACTTAGACTAAATTCTGTCAATGAAAACAGTAAGGGAAGCTAATTAACAATATTCCTAGAGCTACCTTGTGCCCCTCTGCATCTGCCTCCTGATACAGATGGTTGTGCTACTTGGTGTTGGGAGATCTGATAAGAACACAGGAGATTGTTCCAGTCTAAAGGCCACAGAGGACCGTTTATGATATCTACAACTTAAAACAGTCACTTTACCTGGACTAAGAAGATAATAAAAGCAGAGACATCACCCTGCCAACAAAAGTGCGTATAGTCCAGGCCATGGTTTTCCCAGTGGCAATGTATGGCTGTGAAAGTTGGACCATAAGAAAGGCTGAGCGCCAAAGAATGGAGGCCTTTGAACTCTGGTGCTGGAGAAGACTCCTGCGAGTCCCCTGGACTGCAAGGCGTTCAAACCTGTCAGTCCTAGAAGAGATCAACCCAATCAATCAAATACTTTGGCCACCTGATGAGAAGGAAGGACTCACTGGAGAAGAGCCTAATGCTGGGAAAGATGGAGGGCAAGAGAAGAAGGGGACGACAGAGAATGAGATGGCTGGATGGAGTCACTGAAGCAGGAGGTGTGAACTTAAATGGACTCCAGAAGATGGTAGAGGACAGGAAGACCTGGAGGAACGTTGTCCATGGGGTCGCGATGGGTCGGACACGACTTCGCAATTAACAACAACAACAAGAAGATAACAGAAGCTCTTAGGGTGAAACAGAAGAGTTTAACCACAGTGAAAAAACCTAAACAGTGCTTTCATCCATCTCTCTCTCTCTCTCTCTCTCTCACACACACACACAGAAATTAAAAATTGTAAAGACAGTTAAATAAGAATAAACACCTGGGAGTAGAAAACCCCCTCAATATAAGCGTAAGCATCAATTGCTATGTCCAATGCAGATGCTGTTTTTTTTTTTAAAAAAAATCCCCCTTTGTTTAATTTTCATAAATGATGGAGAACACGCCAAATACTCCTTCCTCCCCTTCTTTTCACCCCCACAACCACAATCCTGTGAGGTGGGTTGGGCTGGCTTTCGTGGCTAAAGCAGAACTCACCATCTCTGAGTTTCTAGCCTGGTGCTTTAACCACTAGACCTCACTGGCCCTCGTTACATTGGCAACAGTCCGTACAGAAATTCCAGCCTACCCTACAAATTATGCCTCTTGCGTCCACTAAAAAAGCTTAGTGGCTAAAAAGATTCACCCTCTCTAAGCTTTTATTTTTCCTTTCGTGCCCGAGAGTTACTTTCTGTGCCCGTTCTCACCTTCGACTTGCTTTCTGCAGTGACTTTCCACAGCTTCAACCTGGGGTCTTCCAACTTGGCCCTTTGATGACTTGTGGGCTTCAACTCCCAGAATTCCTCAGCCAGGCACGTGCCTGGCTGAGGAATTCTGGGAGTTGAAGCCCACAAGTCATCAAAGGGCCAAGTTGGAAGACCCCTGGCTAAACAGCTCTAAAGAAAAGCAAGCAGGAACGTCCGTTTCCCCATCATCAGAACTGCTTTCACAGGAATCAGCAAAACACTGGCCTCCAAGGTCCCCAGCGTGGGCTGTAGGAGTGTTTGTGGGTTGTTGTTTTTTTATTTGCTAAATTTCATTACTACCTTAAGTTACATCTTCATGCCAACAAGGTCTGAGAACCACAGCCTAACATCAGGAGCCCGAGATCCACATATTCTCTAGATCAGGGTCAGTTGACGCCAGCTCCATGGTGCTAATTGCAACTCAAATGTGATTGGATTGTTACTGCAACCCAACGCTGGCAGTTTCTGCATCTCTAGATGCCCCAAATATGCCCGCGAGGAAATAATCACCTTTCTTTCTCTGACAATCTCCCACCCCACCTCTGCTTTTAAGCCCAGCCAGGCCCAGTGCGAGCATGTGAGCATCACAACAGCTTATCAATGGCACTGTTCTTTTACGCATCACGGGATAGGACACACACACACCCCGCCGCCAAGAAAGCAAGGGGACGACAAAGACCTACGGAAAGCATCCACCACATTTTTTTTGACTGAGAAGACACTCCTGAAACAATACAGAACAATGAGAGTTGGAAGGGATCTTAGAGATCTTCTAGTCCAGCCCCCCGCTCAAGGCTGAGGTCTGATGCTATTCTAGACAAACAGCTGTCCAGTCTTTTTCTTAAAAGGGATGGAAAGTCACTGTCTCTGGAAGCGAGCCCTTCCACCGATTAAAGAAGAGGGATTGCCCAATATTATTATTAAATTTATATGCCACCCATCTCCCTATCAAGCCACTCTTAGTGGCTTCCAACATCGTAAAGTAGCAATGTATCACCACCCAAATATGAAAAGCCTTCAAAACACAGAAGGTTAAACATGAAATGTATGGGGTATAGGTGTGTTTGTGGGTGGGATGGTTGGTTGGATGGATGGATGATGGATGGATGGATAGATAGATAGATTAGATAGAGAAATAGAGAGATAGAGATAATATAGATAGATAGATAGATAGGTAGGTAGATAGATAGGTAGATAGATAAATTAGATAGAAATAGAGATGATAGGTAAGTAGGTAGATGATAGATAGATGATAGATAGATAGATTAGATAGAAATAGAGATGATATATATATATATAGGTAGATAGGTAGGTAGGTAGATTAATAGAGAAATAGAGAGATAGAGATGATAGGTAGGTAGGTAGGTAGATGATAGATATAGATAGGTAGGTAGATTAGATAAATAGAGAGAGATAATATAGATAGATAGATAGATAGATAGATAGATAGATTAGATAGAAATAGATATATATATATAGGTAGATACATAGGTAGGTAGATTAATAGAGAAATAGAGATAGAGATGATAGGTAGGTAGGTAGATAGATAGATGATAGATAGATAGATAGATAGATAGATAGATAGATAGATTAGATAGATAGATAGATTAGATAGAAATAGAGATGATATATATATATATAGGTAGATAGATAGGTAGGTAGATTAATAGAGAAATAGAGATAGAGATGATAGGTACGTAGGTAGATAGATGATTGATTGATAGATATATAGATAGATAGATAGATAGATAGATAGATAGATAGATAGATAGATAGATAGATAGATAGATTAGATAGAAATAGAGATGATATATAGATATATATATAGGTAGATAGATAGGTAGGTAGATTAATAGAGAAATAGAGATAGAGATGATAGGTAGGTAGATAGATGATAGATAGATAGATAGATAGATAGATAGATAGATAGATAGATAGATAGATAGATCGTATGTGTGTTATGTATGTGTACCGGTAGATACATATTTTCTTTTGAGAGCAGGCAACAGAATTTCAGGTTTAATGTGTGTGCTCATACTAAAAAATGACAATAGAGGTTATCTTATTTAAAAAAAATGAGGATTGAGAGAGCTCACTTTACACTTCACCAGAGGGGAGTACAGTAGACACAACCCCTCCTAGAAGTCCATTCAGAAAAGCACTCATCATTCTGAAATGTAATAATACTAATAATTATTAACAATTTATACTTTTAGTTTTATCCTTTTTTAACACCGTAAACCACCAGAGTTACAGAGTTACCCTGTGGCAAGGTGGGGGGGGCTAACACATTTAATAAAAAGTAAATAATAATTCGTTAGATTCATCTTGCCCCCCGATTCCCAGAGATCCTAGTCGGGTTTCAGCTTCTTCGGGCCGAACCCAAAGGCAGGATCTCCTAAACATCCATTCAGAAGAGCGCCCCATCGGCTTCTCAAGTTCAATAACACTAATCATTATTAACAGTTTATACTTTTAACAGTATTTTATTCAAATGACATTATGCATCCTGTACAGTTTTATCCTTTTTAACACCGTAAGCTGCCCGGAGTTACAAAATTACCCCATGGCAAAATGGGTGGCTAACAAATCCAACACAATAAATGCTCCAACACTGGCAGTTTTTAAGAAGAGACTGGACAGCCATTTGTCCGAAATGGTGTAGGGTTTCCTGCCCGAGCAGGGGGTTGGACTAGATGACCTCCAAGGTCCCTTCCAACTTTACTACTACTACTACTACTATTATTATTATTATTATTATTATTATTATTATTATTATTATTATTCAGATTCGGGATGCCAGCTTGGGGAAAACCCAAAGGAAGAACAGGGTCTGGCTAACCCCCCCCCCATATTTAAGCAGGGCTGGCTTGAAATGGCGCCCCTTCCATTTCCCCCATTATTTTTGTTATTTCAGAAACCGGGGGGCCATTTCCCCCCATTGTTTTTGTTATTTTAGAAACTGGGGGGCCATTTCCCCCATTATTTGTTATTTTAGAAACTGGGGGGGCCATTTCCCCCATTATTTTTGTTATTTTAGGAACTGGGGGGGCATTTCCCGCCATTATTTTTGTTATTTTAGAAACGGGGGGCCATTTCCCCCATTTTTCTATTATTTTAGAAACAGGGGGGCCATTTCCCCCATTATTTCTGTTATTTTAGAAACTGGGGGGGGCATTTCCCCCATTATTTCTATTATTTTAGAAACAGGGGGGCCATTTCCCCCATTATTTTTGTTGTTTTAGAAACCGGGGGGGCATTTCCCCCATTGTTTTTGTTATTTTAGGAACTGGGGGGGGCATTTCCCGCCATTATTTTTGTTATTTTAGAAACGGGGGGCCATTTCCCCCATTTTTCTATTATTTTAGAAACAGGGGGGCCATTTCCCCCATTATTTCTGTTATTTTAGAAACCGGGGGGGGCATTTCCCCCATTATTTCTGTTATTTTAGAAACTGGGGGGGGCATTTCCCCCATTGTTTTTGTTATTTTAGAAACTGGGGGGGGCATTTCCCCCATTGTTTTTGTTATTTTAGAAACGGGGCGCTTTTCTCCTCTATTCTTGTTATTTTAGAAACGGGGGGGGGAGTTAAGAGATGGCTTGGGGGGGGCACCGCGCTGGGACCCCCCGAGGGGAGGGGCGGGGGGCGGGGAGGAGGGGGCGGCCTTCACCCGAACCCCTCCCCCAACAACGGCGGGGGGAGGGGGGTTTCCGAGCGGCCCTTGCGGAGGAGAGGCAAGGGCGACCCCTCCCAGAAAACGGGGGGGGGGTCTTTGGGGTGGAGGGCTCCCCTCCCTTCAGCCCCCACCCCACCCACCATTCCTCCGGAGGGGGGGGTCTGCCCGGGGGCCCCAGGGAGGGGCCGGGGGAAGAAAGACCCTCGCCCTCAGCCCCCCCCCCCACGGACCCCCCTCCCAGTAGGCCCGCTCCGCGCTTCCCGCCGAGCCCCGCGGCCTGCCCGGCGCACCTTTGAAGAGATAGTCGTACTCGTCGTCGCGGGTGCCCATGGCGGCGCTGGCCCCGTCCCGCTCGGGCGGAAGGCAGGCAAGGCGGGCGGGCGGCGGGCGGCCGGAGCGATCCGCGCCGGCCCTGACAGGCTCCCCTCAGGCAGGCGAAGGGCGGGGCCGGCGCGGAGTTGACGCGGACGCCGGGAAGGGCAGCCCGGCCCGCCTATCAGCGGCGGCGCTCGCGCCCCGGGAGGCGGGACTTCGGCCGGGCGGCTGCCGGGGCTGCACGAGCGCGAGCGGCGGCTGGGAACCAATCGGAGGGCGAGCGGGGGGGGGGAGGGAGATGGTGGAGCCGCTCGGGGGCGCGGCCTATGGGCGTTTCGGGAGGTTCCAAAAGGTGGCGGCCCCGCCCCCTGCTGCTTAGCATTTCAAAGGCGGGGAGGGGAGGGGCGTCAACCTGCCCGCCCCGCCCCCGCGGCCGCCCCCCCCTCAGTGTTTCTCAACCTGGACCGTGTTAAGGCATGTGGACTTCAACTCCCAGAATTCCACAGCCAGCATTGCTGGCTGTGGAATTCTGGGAGTTGAAGTCCACATGCCTTAACATGGTCCAGGTTGAGAAACACTGGCAGAGAGAGAGAGAGATGGATCAATGGATGGATGGATATATTAGACAGATTAAATAGATAGATGGATAGATAGATAATGAATTGATTAATAGATGATAGATGGATTGATAGTTGGATAGAAACATGACAGATAACTATGCATTCATATGTTTTGGATATTGTAATTTTGAGGAGGTTAAAGAAATCTGATATAGATATTGAGGGATTGATTGTTAGATTATAAAGCATATTAGAAATAGAAAGGCACTTTTTTCACTTTTTTTCTGTTTTGTTTTTGTTTTTCCTTCTTGTTCTTTTTTTTCTGATATGAAATATATATATATATATATATATATATATATATATATATATATATCAGAAGAGTAAGTTTGGCTGATGAGGGTTAAAGGAACCCGAAATAGCTATACCATTCTCTCTTTATTCTTTGTTAGCAAAACCTAAAAATGTAAAAAAAAAATGATGTCGCAGTTAGTGACTGCTGCTTGTGGATGGCTCTAGATTGAGCTGATACAGGCAAAAGAAAAGAAAAGAAAGAAGATTTCTTTCTCCCATATCTGGGCTGACAGGGTGTTCATTCAAGGTAAATATCTCCTCCCCCTGTCTCTCTCCTGGGAGCTAACAAAGTGGGAGAGAACCCGTGGCTTAGAGGTTATAACATCTGCCTAACATGCAGATAGCCCAGGTTCGAATCTCAGAAGAGTAAGTTTGGCTGATGAGGGTTAAAGGAACCCGAAATAGCTATACCATTCTCTCTTTATTCTTTGTTAGCAAAAACCTAAATATATATATATATATATATATATATATATATATATATATATATATATATATATATATATATAATGTTTTCTGAGGTTTTCGCGGGTGTTTGTATGTAGGTCTTTGGTTATTCGGGTTTTCTCCCACGTAAAATTGGAAGTGTGTATATATATATTAGAACTGATAGTCACTTTGTAATGGAGGAGGAATAGGGAAAAAGAAGAAATGATATTAATAAATGTTTATTGAATATGTTATGGGAAAAGGTAATGGGGAGACTCCCGAAGTGTTAACTATGTACTTAGATTAGAAATATGGAATATATTAATTGAAATACTAAGCTTCATACAGGATCTGGATTTGTGGATCTATTTAGATGAAAAGTTATTGAGGATTGATATGACTGATCTAGTCATATTGAAATATATTAATTTGAATATAATATGTTATTAGAGGGAAAAGAGAGGGGTTTCTTTAATGATTTAATCTGAATTCTATGAATTTTGTTGTGTGGATAATTGATTGCCCTGCCACAACGTTGTTTCTTAAGCACTTGTTTGTAAAACGAAAAAACTTGTTTAAAAAAAAAAGAAACATAACAGATAACAGATAGGTAATTGATAGATGATAGGCAGATGGATAGATAGATAGATGGATGGATGGATAAATGGCTCTCCAATCTCTTCTTAAAATCCTCCAGTGATGGAGCACCCACGATTTTTGGAGGCAACTTCTGTTCCACTGGCTAATTGTCCTCACTGTCAAGAAGTTTCTCCTTAATTCCAGGTTGCTTCTCTCTTTGGTCAGTTTCCATCTGTTCTTTCTTGTCCTGCCCTCAGCTGCTTTCGTGAAGGAGACCCTGCTCAAGCATCGCTTATATGCCACATCCTGAATGGGAGGGAGGGAACTGCCAATCATCTTTTCACCCATCCTCATCACTTCTCTGCACGGGCTTCCTGTCCGAAGCAGGGATGCTTCCAAACTAGACTGTGATGCAGGGTGTTTAATAATAATAATAATAATAATAATAATAATAATAATAATACCATCAAATATCCACATCTGCCTATCCCAGGTCCTGGGTAAGGACTCGATAGGTAGACAAAATGCCAAATCCACTCTGAACATCTGGCTGACTGTGCGATGATCGATAATAATAATAATAATGATAATAATAACAACAACAAGAAAGACCAAATGAAGAACAGAATAGAGACATGGGAAGACAAAGCACTACATGGCCAATACATGAAAAAAATAGCTGGGAAAGCAGATAATAATAAAACCTGGCAATGGCTAAGAGCAGGAAAATTGAAGAACTGAGATCGAGGACTAATCTGGCTGCACAAGACCAAGCCTTAAGGACAAATGCATACAAAGTCAAAATTGAGAAGACAGCAACAGACAGTAAGTGCCGCCTATGCAAAGAAGCTGAAGAAACAGTGAACCACTGGTAAGCTGTTGCAAGAAGATTGCACAGACTGACTACAAGCAGCGGCATGACAAAGTAGCAACAATGTTTGCATTGGAAGATCTGCAAGAAATATCATTTGCCTGTAAGCAAAACTGGTGGGATCATAAAATAGAGAAAGTCATAGAAAATGATAAAATAAACTGCTCTGGGACTTCAGAATTCAAACAGACAGCACCTGCAACATAACACCCCGACTTAACAATTGTCGATAAGAAAGACAAAAAAGTCTGGATAGTGGACTTGGCAGTGCCTGGAGACAGCAGAATAGACGAGAAAGAACTGGAGAAGATAACAAAATACAAAGATCTACAAATAGAAATAGAAAGACTGTGGCAAAAGCAAGCAAGGGTAGTACCAATAGTAATAGGCTCCTTGGTGCAATCCCAAAACAACTGGAGCACCACTTGAACACCATTGGCATTGACAAATTCGCTATTAGTCAATTGCAAAAGGCGGCTTATTAGGAACTGCTTCATCCTGCGAACTATACCTGGGTAAATACCATCCAAACATCCCATCTGCGCTATCCAGGTCTGGCTGACTGTGGCGATGATCCATAATAATATAATAATAAAATAATGATGAAGATGCACTGAAATTAGTATATCAGGAAGGCTTACTAACTACTGGAGAGACCAACCTGGCCTACAAGAAAAGACCAAATGAAGAACAGAATAGAGGCATGGGAAGACAAAGCACTACATGGCCAATACATGAAAAAAATAGCTGGGAAAGCAGATAATAATAAAACCTGGCAATGGCTAAGAGCAGGAAAATTGAAGAAAGAGACCGAGGTACTAATTCTGGCTGCACAAGACCAAGACTTAAGGACAAATGCATACAAAGTCAAAATTGAGAAGACAGCAACAGACAGTAAGTGCCGCCTATGCAAAGAAGCTGACGAAACAGTGGACCACTTGGTAAGCTGTTGCAAGAAGATTGCACAAACTGATTACAAGCAGCGGCATGACAAAATAGCAACAATGGTGCATTGGAAGATCTGCAGAAATATCATTTGCCTGTAACAAAAAACTGGTGGGATCATAAAATAGAGAAAGTCATAGAAACGAGAAAATTAGAAACTGCTCTGGATTCAGAACTCAAAAACAGCCAAGCACCTGCAACATAACACCCCAGACTTAACATTGTCAATAAGAAAAGACAAAAAGTCTGATAGTGGACGTGGCAGTGCCTGGATCTACCGAATAGAAAGGAAAGAAACTGGAGAAGATAACAAAATACAAAGACCTACAAATAGAAATAGAAAAATTGTGGCAAAAGCAAGCAAGAGTAGTACCAATAGTAATAGGCGCCTTGGGTGCAATCCCAAAACAACTGGAGCACCACTTGAACACCATTGGCATTGACAAATTCGCTATTAGTCAATTGCAAAAGGCGGCCTTACTAGGAACTGCTTCCATCCTGCGACGATATCTGTAATACCATCAAACATCCACATCTGCCTATCCCAGGTCCTGGGTAAGGACTCGATAGGTAGACAAAATGCCAAATCCAGTCTGAACATCTGGCTGACTGTGCGATGATCCATAATAGTAATAATAATAATAAAGTTGGAAGGGACCTTGGAGGTCATCTAGTCCAACCCCCTGCTCAGGCAGGAAACCCTACACCAATTCGGACAAATGGCTGTCCAGTTTCTTCTTAAAAACTTCCAGTGTTGGAGCATTCACCGCTTCTGGAGGCAGGTAGTTCCCCTGGTTAATTGTTCTCCCTCTCAGGAAGTTTCTCCTTAGTTCTAGGTTGCTTCTTTTCTTGATGAGTTTCCACCCGTTGCTTCTTGTCCTGCCTTCAGGCGCCTTGGAGAATAGCTTGACTCCCTCTTCTTTGGGGCAGCCCCTTAGATATTGGAACCCTGCTGTCATGTCCCCCCTCGTCCTTCTCTTCGTTAAACTAGACATACCAAATTCCAGCAACCGTTCCTTATATGTGTGCACATTTATTAAGATACTAACAAACAAAGCCCATTTTGGCTTCACGCGTTCTGTAAACCTAACCATTAGGACCATGGTTGGTAAACAGCTTAGTAATGTAATTGGCAGGTTGATTTCAATGGGGTTCCCCCCCCCTCCAGGCTAATCCTCTAATGGAGCTCTTGAAGACTGTAATCCTTTCCAATTAAGAGCTCCGCTTAAACAGATTCATCCATTTCTTTTTATTCCAGTGATGAGTCAGCCAGGAGGGTTCAGCTGAATAAGCAAATTATTTTGGCAAAATTACATCTGAGGCTTATTCCTCAACCCCAACAATATACCATCGGTCCTGTGGCTCTTGGACTCAAAGGAAGTACAGGTAGACTTCAACTGCTCCATCACTGGGGGCTTTTAAGTAGAAACTGTCCGGAATGGTGGAGAGTCTGAGCAGGGGGTTGGACTAGATGACCCCTAAGGTCCCTTCCAACTGTGCTCTGATCGATTGAAGGAAGGTGATTCTCAACTGCTCCATCACTGTAGGCCAGTGGTTCTCAACCTTTTTAATGCCGCGACCCCCAACCGGTCGTAAGTCGAGGACTACTCAACCGGTCGTAAGTCGAGGACTACTCAACCAGTTGTAAGTCAAGGACTACTCAACTGGTGCAGCACCATTTGCAGAATGGGACTTTTGGCGGGCTCAGCAGGGCAGAGACAGCCTGGACAATTCCTATTGGCTTTTGAAAGCCAATAGAATTAAACTCTATTCAAGAGAGTCTATTCTATTGGCTTTCAAAAGCCAATAGAATAAAAGGGAGGAGCACAGCTAAGGAAAAGGGGGGAAAAAATGGCGGACTGCGTTGTTTGACGACCCCCGTGAAATGGTCGTTCGACCCCAAATGGGGTCTCGACCCACAGGTTGAGAACTGCTGCTGTAGGCTTTTAAGTGGAGATTGTACAGCAGTTTGTGTGAATTGGCCTAGGGTCTCCTGTCTGAGCAGGGGGTTGGACTGGATGACCTCCAAGGTCCCTTCCAACTCTTGTTATTGTTATTCTGACTTATGACCACAAATGAGCCCAACATTTCTGTTGCCAAGAGAGACATTTGTTAAGTGAATTTTGCCCCATTTTACGTCCTATCCTGCTTCTTAAGTGAATCACTGCAGCTGTTAGCAACACGGTCGTTAAAGTGAATCCGGCTTCCTCCATCAATTTTGCTGGTCAGAAGGTCACCAAACAGAATCACGTGATTCAGGGACACCGCAACCGTGATAGAGACACGTCAGTTGCCAAGTGTCCAAATTTTTGATCACCTGACCATGAGGACGGTGCCATGTTCTTAAGCGTGAAAAAGTCCTGGTTTTTTCAGTGCCGTTTTAATTTTGAACTGTCACTAAATGAACTGTTGTAAGTTAAGGGCCACCTACAGCCCATTCACCTCTGCTTCCCAGAGGTCTGAACTGTTACAAGAAAAACAATATTGGAAGAGACCTTGGAGGTCATCTAATCCAACCCCCTGCTCAGGCAGGAAACTCTATACCATTTCAGCCAAATGGTTGTCCAGTTTCTTCTTAAAAACTTCCAGCGTTGGAGCATTCACCACTTCTGGAGGCAGGTTGTTCCACTGGCTAATGGTTCTAACTGTCAGGAAGTTTCTCCTTAGTTCTAGGTTGCTTCTCTCCTTGATTAGTTTCCATCCGTTGCTTCTTGTCCTGCCTTCAGGCGCTTTGGAGAAGAGCTTGACTCCCTCTTCTTTATGGCAGCCCCTGAGATATTGGAACACTGCTATCATGTCCCCCCTCATCCTTCTCTTCATTAAACTGGATATCCCCAATTCCAGCAGCCATTCCTTATATGTTTTAACCTCCAGTCCCCTGATCCTCTTTGTTGCTCTTCTCTGTACTTTCTGTAGAGTCTCAACATCTTTTTTATATCGTGGTGACCAAACCTGGATGCAGGATTCGAAGTGTGGCCTTACCAAGGCATTGAAGAGTGGTATTAATACTTCACATGATCTTGATTCTATCCCTCTGTTAATGCAACCCAGCACTGTATTGGCCTTTTTGGCAGCTGCAGCACACGGCTGGCTCCTATTTAGGTGATCGTCTACTAGGACTCCGAGGTCCCTCTCACAGTTACTACTATTGAGCAAGGTACCCCCTATACTATACCTGTACATTTGGTTTTTCTTGCCTAAATGTAGAACCTTGCTTTTTCCACCACTGAATTTCATTTTGTTAGATAGCTCATATTTAAGCAATTGTCCACTAGGACTCCGACGTCCCTCTCACAGTTTGTCTCTCTAGACAATTTATTTCTCAGATCATGTCCTTTGTGAGCGGACTAGATGTCCTCCTGGTTTCCCCCCTCCCTCCCTCCCCCAAGTGACAAAATTCTGGATTTCAGAAACTTAAACGTGTCTTCGCCAGGGTGCGTAGCGTCCCCAACCTCCTGGCCAGGTGGATCGCGTGAACGAGGACCGTCCAAAAACCTTCAACCTCCCTTTTTAAATCGTCCCGCAGTGCCGCCAAAAGAATCCAAAGGGGGGGGAAGAAAAAAAAATATCCCGTCGTTTTTAATCATTACTCATCAAAGACATGTCACTGACCACAAAGTCTTACACCTAAGTATAAAAAAAGTTTTGTTTTTTTTTTTAAAAAAAAAAGGAAAGAGGAAAACAAAACGAATCTCCCGTTTCTTACGGCGAGCATCCGAAGCACAGTTTTGGTAAAGTTTACACGACAATATTCATTGGGCGATGGTCCAGTTTTAATATATATATATATATATATATATATATATATATGTATATATATATTATATATATGTGGAGGATTGGAAAAGAGAGACGAAAAACACACCTAACACGTAACCACCGCCTCCCCGCTGCCCCCCCCCCCGGACAACTGTCCTGCACAAGACCAAGGAGCATTTTTAAGTCAATATGACCCAAAGAGGATCTGAATAGAGGGGCGCATTAAATCCAAAGAAGCGAGTTTGGAGGCTCCGTAAAAGAGGCCCCCAGCATATGCATGGGGGAGTGGCCTCCCCCCCAGCTCACCGCCCTCCCCGCCAGCCCCATAGCTGTCTCAATCCTTTTGCACAGATATTTTTTTGGGGGGGGGAGGAGAGTTAGCCACATGTGTTTTGCACATGGATGTGGCACAAAGTCAGCGGAATCAGCCGCGCCGCACCCCAAAACTTTCCCGCGATCCCAGGAGTCCGAGAGCTGGGGTTCCCAGATTCCTCTGCCTCCCCCAGATGACATCACAACACAGCAGCCTCCCCCCCCCTATGTGCCCAGGTGCTCTCCCCCCAATGGCCAGGCTAGACGGAGGCCAGCTGCGTCTCGCGGGAACCGGCAAGGAGCGCCGTGCCCAGTCTTTTGAGTGTATGGAAGGGGGGGGGAGCTTAGGACCCCCAGTCTGGCTCTGCAGGGCGGATTTTCATGGCAGCGTATCGCAGGGGGTAGTAGCGCCCCCGCCAGGTCTTCCAGAAGATGCCTTGCTTTCTTTCGTGCCGCTGGCGTGGGATGGAGCGGAAGTATCTGCCGTTGAGGTTGACGTGGCCACAGTAGCTGAACCACCAGCCCCCTGCAAGGAGAGAAGGGGCAGAAGACGGGGGGGGGGGGGTCAGCCAGGCATGTAAGCCGACGGGGGGGGGAATGCCCTTCCCAGGGCCCCAGCCTGATGGGTAATTCTCGGGTTATGGCCACAATTTCTGTAGGCATGTCAGTATCACGGATGTTAGACAAATATTAAAATACACCATCCTGTCGGCAATCTACTTTCCCCACAACAGTCCTGTAAGGGAGACTGGACGGGGGGGGAGAGAGAGAGAGAGAGGGAGGGAGGGAGACGGGGGGAGGGAGGGAGAGAGAGGGGGGGAGGGAGAGGGAGGGAGGGAGAGAGAAAGAGAGAAGGAGAGAGAGAAGGAGAGAGGGAGGGAGACGAGAGAGAGAAAGAGGGACAGGGAGACAGGGAGGGAGGGGGTGAGAGAGAGAGGGAGGGAGAGGGAGGGAGAGAAGAAGGGAGAGAGGGGGGAGGGAGAGAGAGGGAGAGAGAGAGGGAGGGAGAGAGAGAGGGAGGGGGAGCGAGGGAGAGAGGGAGAGGAGGAGAGGGAAGGAGGGGGAGAAGAGAGGGAGGGGAGAGGGAGGAGAGAGGGACAGGGAGGAGGGTGGTGAGAGAGGGAGAGAGTGGAGAGAGGGAGAGGGGCGAGAGAACAGGAGGAGAGAGGGAGAGGCAGAGAGAGAGAGAGAGGGAGGGAGGGAGAGAGGGAGGGAGAGAGGGAGAGGAGAGAGAGAGAGGAGGGAGAGAGACAGGGCAGGGAGGGGATGAGAGGGAGAGGGAGGGAGAGACAGAGGAAGAGAGAGGGAGGGAGAGAGGGAAGAAGGGGAGAGAGAGGGAGGGAGAGGAAGAGAGAGGGAGGGAGGGGGAGAGAGGAAGAGGGAGGGAGAGAGGGAGGGAGAGGGAGAGAGGGGGGAGAGGGAGGGAGGGAGAGAGAGAGGGAGGGAGAGAGAGGGAGGGGGAGAGACAGGGAGAGGGAGAGAGGGAGGGAGGGGGAGAGAGAGGGAGAGAGAGAGGGAGGGAGAGGGAGGGAGATGGAGAGAGGAAGAGAGAGAGGGAGGGAGGGAGGGGGAGAGAGAGGGTGGGAGGAGAGAGAGGGAGGGAGAGAGACAGAGGCAGGCCCAAAGTTGTCTCCCTTGAAGCTTTCACCTCCTCCCTGCCCCCCTCTGGGATCTCTGCTAGGTGCTCGATCTTTCTTTGCCAGGAGAGAGTGGCCAGAAAAGTCAAGATGGCGGCCGCAGTGCTACATTCAAAGCTCCCAGAATTCCTCGGTCAGCATGGGGAAGTGAACCAAATTTAAACCGGGTGGGCTTCTGGGAGTTGAAGTCCGCTCCTCTGAAAGGGGAGGGGCTTGAGAATCGCCCTGCTGGGGGCTTGCCGGGAGCCATCTCTGCTGACCTGAGAGGTGCTTAGCGCAGTTGGTGTCGCCCTTCAGGTCGTGGTCGCGATCCCGGGTGGAGAAGGGCAGCTGGGGGAAGTCCCCCATGGCGCTCTCCAGCTCCCCCCGGATGGGTCCCAGGAGGCTGAGGGTGTACGCTGTCTCCTCCCCGCCCAGCCGGAAGAGGAAGTGGGCTTTCTGCCCGTTGCCTTCCCAGTCCTGCAGCTCAACCAGCAGCCGGAAGGCCTCTGCCTTCACCATCCGGTGCGTCTTCTCCAAGCCCAGCCAGAAATCTCCTGAAAAGCAAAGATAGCGGTCAGAAAAGCAGCAGTCCTCGGCTTACGACCGCTGTTAAGTGAGACATTTGCTCGGTTCAGGTATAGCCTCCCTTTTACCACCTTTTTCCTGCCACGCTGGTTCAGCGCTAGCAACGCGAGTCGATAACTCAAGTCACCCGGTCGTTAAGTGAATCCGGCTTCCCCGGATGACTTTGCTTGTCGGAAGGTCGCAAAAGGGGGGAGGGGAGGGGGAGAACCACGAGACCCCGGACACTGCGGCCGTCATAAATACGAGACAGTCGCCAAGCATCCGAATGCAAAGTCACTTTTTTGCAGTGCTGTTGTCGTATCTTGCAATGGTCACTAAACGAACGGATGTAAGCTGAGGACTACCGGCGTAGTTAGTCCCCGGCTTAACGACCACAACCGGACAAGAATTTCCATTTCCAACCATTTTTTTTGGGGGGGGGGGGGATGCAGTGGCTGAGCAAAACGCTGCCGTCGTTGTCATTAAGCCAATCCATCTTCCTCCAGTGATTTTGCTTGTCTGGGATGGTCGCAAACGGCAATCTCCTGACCCCAGCCAGTACATGCTGGTTGGCCAAACCCCTGGATTTTGATCCCCTTGATTGGGGACGTGGGGGTGCGGAACGCTGCAATGGTCATAAGTGTGAGGACCGGTCATAAGTGTGAGGACCGGCCCCAAGTCACTTCTTTAGGTGCCGTTGTAACATTGAACTAAACTAAATGAATGGCAGTAAGTGGTGGACTTCCTGTTTGTCAACGTTTTAACTCAGGCGTCTTCAGACTTGGTCCTTTTATGACTTGTGGACTTCAACTCCCAGAATTCCTTAGCCAGTGTGCCTTTTATGGCTTCTGGACTTCAACTCCCAGAATTCCTCAGCCAGCACAGGGTAACCATGGCCCTTTTATGGCTTGTGGACTTCAACTCCCAGAATTCCTGAGCCAGCATGGGGGAAACTATGGCCCCCTCATGATTGGTGGACTTCAACTCCCAGAATTCCTGAGCCAGCATGGGGGAACTACGCCCCCCTCATGACTTGTGGACTTCAACTCCCAGAATTCCTGAGCCAGCATGGGGGAAACTATGGCCCCCTCATGACTCGGGGACTTCAACTCCCAGAATTCCTTAGCCAGTGTGCCTTTTATGGCTTGTGGACTTCAACTCCCAGAATTCCTGAGCCAGCATGGGGGAATCATGGCCCTTTTATGACTTGTGGACTTCAACTGAGCCAGCTTGGCTAGCTGAGGAATTCTGGGAGTTGAAGTCCACAAGTCATAAAAGAGCCAAGTTTGAAGACCCCTGCTTTAAATCAATAAATAAATCTGGGAAATTTATGCCGTTAGAAGGCAGCTTCAAAGCTAGAGTCGCCAAATCTCTGCTGCTGGGTTCTTTCCCCAACCCGGTGCCTTCTTCTGTCTGCCAGGGGAGCAGAATTCTGGGGGGTCACCTCCCCCCCCCCACCGTTCACCCACCGGTCAGATTTCCAAAGCCATCCTTATAAGCGTCCCAGAGCCGATCAAAATCCACCGAGCCGTCTTGGCGCCTCTGGATCACCGTCCAGCCGCCCTCGTCTGCCAACAGAGAGAGCAAGAGTTAGGGCACCGCGGAAGGGGCGAGACCCCCCCCCAGCTTGGTATTGGAGGGGCTGCCACAAAGAAGAGGGGGGGGTCAACTTATTCTCCAAAGCACCAGAGGGCAGGACAAGAAACAATGGATGGAAACTGATCAAAGAGAGAAGCAAACCTGGAATTCAGGAGAAAGTTCCTGACAGTGAGGACAATTAACCAGTGGAACTGCTTGCCACCAGAAATCATGGGCGCTCCATCACTGGAGATTTTTAAGAAGAGGCTGGACAGCCACTTGTCTGAGATGGTATAGGCCACGTTTCCTGCTTGAGCAGGGGCTTGGACTAGAACAGGGGTAGGCAACCCAAAACACTCAAAGAGCCACTTGGACCCGTTTCCCACCAAAAACAAAACACCGGGAGCCGCAAAATCCTTTTGATATCTAAAATGAAGATAACACTGCATATATCCTTTTTTACCTTTATTATAGGTGTGTGTGTGTTTGTGTGTGTATATGTGTGTGTGTGTGTGTGTGTATGTATGTATATACACACACACACACACACATATATACACATACATACACATACAGGTAAAAAAAGGATATATGCAGTGTTATCTTCATTTTAGATGTCAAAAGGGTCTCTCTCTGTCTCTCTCTCTCCCTCCCTCTCTATCTGCCCTTGGTCTGCCTGCCACTCCTCTCCCCCCACTATCTTTCTTTCTCTCTCTCTCTTTCCTCTCTCTCTCTCTCTCTCTCTCTCCCTCCCTCCCTCCCTCTCTCTCCTATCTGCTGCTCACCTGGCAAGCTTCAAGCTGTTGTCCAACAAGCTCAGGGGTAAGCAACCTCGTCTCTTTTATGACTCATGGACTTCAACTCCCAGAATTCCTGAGTCAGCCTAGCTGGGCTAGCTAGCTCTCTCCTGCCCTTCCTGCTTCCTGCAGAGAGGCAGCAAAGGGAGGAGCTCCACCCAGTAAGCTTTTCAGCTCCTCGGAGAACACTGTGAGTGCACTCTCTTTTACACACACACACACACACACACACACAGAGAGAGAGAGAGAGAGATAGAGAGAAGGAAGCAGGGAAGCGCAATTGCCTCTCTCTGTCTCTCTCTGCAAAGGCAGAGGAGGCTGGGAGCCACAGGGGAAGGCTCAAAGAGCCGCATGCGGCTCCGGAGCCGCAGGTTGCCGACCTGTGGACTAGAGGACCTCCAAGGGTCCCTTCCAGATTCTATTCTATTCTATTCTCCATTCCATATTCTCTATTCCATATTCTATTCTATATTCCATATTTCATATTCTGTTCTATTCCATATTCTATATTCTATTCTATTCTATTGCATTCCATTCCATTTCCTCTTCTCTTCTCTTCTCTCTTCCTTCTGACTTTTTTTAAAGTGGAAGCAACACGCAGGTACACACTCTCTTTCCCAATCAAATCAGCCAGCTCCTCGCTATATAGAGATTTGAACCCAGGCTCTTCCCTTCCCCCCCCTCCCCCTCTGAACTTACCCATGTCACAGAAGACTTTGAAAGCCTGGCCTCCGGGGGGCTGGATATCAAAGACCCCACTGCTCTGCTGCCCCTCGAGGAAGAGACTGTGACAGCTGGCTGGAAGCTCTGCAAGCGAGAAGAATAGAATAGAGCTGGAAGGACCTTGGAGGTCTTCTAGTCCAGCCCCTTGCTCAAGCGGGAGAACCTATATGAAGGAGTGACTGAATGAACCAACAATTACATATGACCCTAAAGTGAATAGAATAGAATAGAATAGAATAGAATAGAATAATAAAATAGAATAGAATTACAGAATAGAATTACAGAATAGAATAGAATGCAGAATAGAATAGAGTGGAATTACAGAATAGAATAGAATATAGAATAGAATAGAAAAGAAAATGGGAATAGAATAGAATAGAAAATAGAGAATAGAATGCAGAATAGAACAGAGCAGAATTACAGAATAGAACAGAATATAGAATATAGAATAGAATAGAAAATGGGAATAGAATAGAATTGAATTACAGAATAGAATTACAGAATAGAATAGAACAGAACAGAGTAAGAGAATAGAGAATAGAATGCAGAATAGAACAGAATAGAATTATAGAATAGAATAGAAAAGAAAATGGGAATAGAATGCAGAATAGAACAGAGTAGAATTATAGAATAGAATAGAATATAGAATAGAAAAGAAAATGGGAATAGAACAGAATAGAATAGAGAATAGAATGCAGAATAGAATTACAGAATAGAATTACAGAATAGAATATAGAGAATAGAGAATAGAATAGAATAGAATAGAGAACAGAACAGAACAGGCATGTTACGGAAGCCACTCTGCGGAACAAGAAAGATTCCGCCTCTGATCAGCCGCCAGCTGCAAAGACCCCCCAGATCCACCAAGTGAGCCCAGGGATTTATGTCGCTAAGTGAAAAACGTGTGGAGTTTTGCCCCGTTTTACGCAAAGGAATCCCTGCGGTTGTTGAAGTGGTCACCCGGTTGTTAAGCGAATCAGGATTCCCCCAAGTAGTTCCCAGGAGGTCGCCAAAGGGGATCACATGACCCCCCCTCCTCCCGGGGACACTGCGGCCATCATAAATAGGAACTGGTTGCCAAGCGTCCGAATGTAAATCACGGCTGCGACTGTCCTTAAGTGTGAAAAAGGGCCCTACGTCCCTTTTTTTTTTTCAGGGCCTTGGTAACTTCGTACTGGTCACTAAGTGAAACGGTCGTAGGTTGGGGACCACACATACAAGGCCTTTGCAACTGCAGCTATTAAAACCCCCAAAAATCAGACTCTGAAAAAAGTGAAAGCTGGAATTCTACTCGGCACAAGAATCCAAATGTCAGTATTTTCCACGGGACAGTATGAGTACGTACAGCCCTCCGCTTACAACCGTTCGTTTAGTGACAATCTGAAGTTACGACAGCACTGGGAAAAGTGATTTATGACCCTTCTTCACACTCACAATCGTAGCAGCATCCCCATGGTCACGAGATCAAAATTCAGACGCTTGGCCACTGACTCGTATTTACGACGGTCGCCGTGTCCCGACAAGCAAAGCCAATGGGAGAAATCCAGATTCGCTTTAACAACCATGTTGTTAACTTAATAAGGGCAAGGATTCCATCCACAATTATGGGAAGAAAGGTCAAAGAAGGGGCAAAACTCATTTAACAACTGTGTGGCTTAGCAACAACCTTGGGCCCGATTGTGGTGGTAAACCGAGGACCCCCTGTATAGAAAGAGAAGGTCATGGGACGCCACACTCCAGTGTGTTTTGTTTAACCCTTTGTGCTCATGATGATTTTCATTTTTATAATATAATTTGCTGGTTTTTGGGGAAAAAAAAGAAAAGAATTGGTTATCAGGATTACTCCGTTAAATCAAAGTCCAAATTTTAATTTTGCTCATTGACATTAATAATAATAATAATAATAATAATAGGCGCCGTGGGTGCAATCCCAAAACAACTGGAGCACCACTTGAATGCCATCATCGGCATTGACAAATTCGCCATTAGTCAATTGCAAAAGGCGGCCTTATTAGAAACTGCTTCCATCCTGCGACGATATCTGTGATACCATCAAACATCCACATCTGCCTATCCACATCTGCCTATCCCAGGACTCGATAGGTAGACAAAATGCCAAACCCAGTCTGAACATCTGGCTGACTGTGCGATGATCAATAATAATAATAATAATAAAAAGTTGGAACGGACCTTGGAGGTCATCTAGTCCAACCCCCTGCTCAGGCAGGAGATCCTATACCATTACAGACAAATGCCTGTCCAGTCTCTTCTTAAAAACTGTTGGAGCATTCACCGCTTCTGGAGGCAAGGAGTTCCACTGGCTAATTGTTCTCCCTGTCAGGAAGTTTCTTCTTAGTTCTAGGTTGCTTCTCTCCTTGAATTAGTTTCCATCCGTTGCTTCTTGTCCTGCCTTCAGGTGCTTTGGAAAATAGCTTGACTCCCTCTTCTTTGGGGCAGTCAAGCTATTCTCTAAATATTCTCCATTTCAGAAACTCTAGTTTAGTAGGCACAATTTAAAAAACAAAACAAAACAAGAAACATAATCACTTTTTTCAGAACGATGTCTCATGGAGCAAAGAGAAAAAAATCTGAGTAAACAAGATTTAGCACCGTGCTGGAGGCATTGGGGGTTCAAAATACACAAAACGGTGCTGCAACCGATGCCCTGCCCGGTTTGTATATCTGTGTAAACACTCCTGAGAACATGGCACAGTGCTTAATTAATTTCCTGAGATTCATCGACCAATGGGCAGCATTTTAAAAGCTGAAGCAGCAAAGCACAGCGCCCTCGGGCAGCGTAGTCTTTTCACACCATTCCCACGGAGTTAGACTGGGCATCGCTGGGATTCTGGCACTAACTCTGCTCTTTCATTCAACTGCCTCCAGTTACCACTCTCTCTACCGCTTGGTAAGGCCACACCTGGAATCCTGTGTCCAGTTTTGGTCACCACGATGTAAAAAAGGACGTTGAGACTCTAGAAAGAGTGCAGAGAAGAGCAACAAAGATAATCAGGGGACTGGAGGCTAAAATATATAAGGAACGGTGGCTGGAATTGGGTATGTCTAGTTTAAAGAAGAGAAGGACGAGGGGGGACAGGATAGCAGTGCTCCAATATCTCAGGGGCTGCCCCAAGAAGAGGGAGTCAAACTGTTCTCCAAAACGCCTGAAGGCAGGACAAGAAGCAACGGGTGGAAACTGATCAAGGAGAGAAGCAACCTAGAACTAAGGAGAAATTTTCTAACAGTGAGGACAATTAACCAGTGGAACAGCTTGCCACCAGAAATTGTGGGTGCTCCATCACTGGTAGCTTTTAAGAAGAGACTGGACAGTCACTTATCTGAAATGGTATAGATTCTCCTGTTTGAGCAGGGGGCTGGACTAGAAGACCTCCAAGGTCCCTTCCAACTCTGTTATCCTGTTTCTCCATTATTCAGTTCAGAGGGACTGAATAAGGAAGATTTGCTAGCTAGAGCAGTAGTTCTCAACCTGGGGGTGGGGACCCCATTTGGGGTCGAACGACCATTTCACGGGGGTCGCCAAACAACGCAGTCTACCATTTTTCCCCCCCTTTTCCTTAGCTGTGCTACCCTTTTATTCTATTGGCTTTTGAAAGCCAATAGAAGAGACTCTCTTGAATAGAGTCTAATTCTGTTGGCTTTCAAAAGCCAATAGGAATTGTCCAGGCTGTCTCTGCCCTGCTGAGCCCGCCAAAAGTCCCATTCTGCAAACGGTGCTGCACCCGTTGAGTAGTCCTCGACTTACGACCGGTTGAGTAGTCCTCGACTTACGACCGGTTGGGGGTCGCGGCATTAAAAAGGTTGAGAACCACTGAGCTAGACGCTTTTGTGGCACCTACTGACAGACCCAGACTGGTTTCCAGTCAGACAGGGTTGGCATCTGGACACAGCCGAGAGGCGAGGAGGAGGGACGGAGCTCCACGGCGGCTGCAGCATCAAGGGGCAGCCCCAAAATGGAGGAAATGCAGGGCAGGCAATGAAAAGGACAACTCTCTTTCTCTCTCATTCTCTCCTCTCTCTCTCTCTCTCCTCTCTCTCATTCTGTCTTTCTGTCCCAATCTCCCTCTGTCATTCTCTCTCAATCTCTCATTCTCTCCTGTCGTTCTGTCATTCTTTCTCTCTCTCTTGAATCTCTCTCTCCCCCTCATTCTGTCATTCTTTCCCTCATTCTCTCTCATTTTCTCCTCTATCAATCTCTCATTCTCTCCTGTCATTCTTTCTTTCTGCCTCTCATTCTCTCTGAATCTCTCTCCCTCATTCTCTCTCTGTCATTCTCTTATTCTTTCCCTCATTCTCTCTCTCAATGTCTCATTTTCTCCTCTATCAATCTTTCTCTTGTTTTCTGTCATTCTTTTTCTCTCTCATTCTGTCAGTCTCTTACACTTTCTTTCTTTTAATCTCTCTCCCCCTCATTCTGTCATTTTCTCATTCTTTCCCTCATTCTCATTTTCTCCTGTCTTATTCTCTCCTGTCATTCTTTCTTTCTCTCCCTCCCTCATTCTCTCTCTCTCAATCTCTCATTTTGTCATTCTCTCTCCTGTCATTCTTTTTCTCTCTCATTTTTAATCTCTCTCCCTCACTGTCCCTCTCATTCTCTCTCTCAATCTGTCTTTTTCTCCTCTGTCTTTCTCCTGTCATTCTCTCTGATTCTTTCTCTCTTTCTGTCACTCTCATTCTTTCTCTCATTCTCTCTTAATCTCTCCCTCCCTCATTCTTTCTTTCCCTCATTCTCTCTCTCTCTCAATCTCTCATTTTGTCATTCTCTCTCCTGTCATTCTTTCTTTTTCTCTCTCATTCTTAATCTCTCTCTCCCTCATTGTCCCTCATTCTTTCTCTCATTCTCTCTCAATCTGTCTTTTTCTCCTCTCTCTCTCTCCTGTCGTTCTCTCTCCTGATTCTTTCTCTCTCTCATTCTTTCTCTCATTCTCTCTCTCAATCTTTTTCTCCTCTCTCTCTCCTGTTGTTCTCTCTGATTCTTTCTCTCTCTCTTTCTGTCACTCTCATTCTTTCTCTCATTCTCTCTTAATCTCTCCCTCCCTCATTCTCTCTCTCTCTCAATCTCTCAT